TGGTCTTCTCCATCACTGTCCAATTTGTATGTTACTGCCAGGTCTTACAGATTTTAACATCTTGTTTGCATGTTCTTATGAGATTTGGGTTTATTAAGAAAGGATATTGCAAAAAAAGAAAGAAAGAAAGGATATTGCTATGCAGCCCATCCATCCTCCTGCAGTGGCCTCCTGGGTGCTAGGGTTACAATAAGATGCCAAAATGCACAGTCATAAAAAATGCCCCATGAGGGCCAAGTGAGATGGCTCTGCAGGTAAATGGACTTGCCTCCAAGTCTAACAGCCTGAGTTCCACCATTGGCACTCACATGGTAGAAGGAGAGAGATGGTATTACAAACTATCCTCAGACCTCCACACATACACTGTGGCATGCACATGCACACACATGTGCCTATGCACAGACACAGATAGATGATAGATAGATAGATAGATAGATAGATAGATAGATAGATAGATAGATAGATAGATAGATACAAATACTTAGTGGAGAAATAGCATAGAGTTTCCAATCCAAATGATTAAATTCCATTTTATGAAGGAGTCTCGTTAGGACATTCATTTGGAGGGTATGGAGGTAACTATGAAACCTGTAGATCAGCAGATAAATCCTCTAGATCAGAGTAATAGTCTGTATTTCTTCCTCACACCGATTATCACTAACAGAATTTTAGCAATCTCATCATTTTTATCATTTATTCTTACAAGAAACCATACAACTACTTGCTTTAAATAGTTGTACCCATGCTAATATATCCTGCTTCCCAATCATAACTGTTTTATAATGTGAAATGTACTATATCAATTACACCTAGTTGATAGATCAGACTACACTGTAACCAAAAATCCCTCTGAAAATACCCATCAGGCAGTTCAATTCAAAACCACACATTCTATGACAGAGATTGAAGCCAGAGGTGATAATAAGAAAAGATTCCAGATTCATAAAACTAAGTATAAAATCTTTCATGAAAATATTTATGTTTTTAACCATGGGTAAATTTTTCCTGAAAATCCAAAAAGATAGGATGAGTTTGTACAAGGCCAAGGTCTTAATAGCAGATCTAACCTGGTCTGCCCTGAGGGTAGTTCCGGAGCCCACTCTGAGACTCCTGTCCTTTGGCCAACTCTATATGTTCCTTTGACTCTTCCTATGTCTTTTGTATGTAAAGTCAAATACTCTAGAGTAGCATATGCCTTCAGTAATTGCTGCGTTTTAAAATCAGCAAGCATCGTATAAGAAAGACAGAATGATGACACCGTACACCAAGAACTTGTGTGATGCATCTTCGAAAGCATTTGTACGCAATGTTAAATGAAGCATTTGAAAGGGAACCAGCAAGCCTATGGAGGGAAACACACAGAACAGAGAGAAGTCCTAGCAATGACTCTCTGACCCTGAGCTCCCTAAGGCCCAGGAATCATATTTCTCTTTACTATCGAAGAGTTGATCTCAGAAGGACATTAGCATTTGCTGAATGAAAGGCAGAGGGGAGAGATGAAAACAGGGAGGAAGGAGGGAATAATTGAGTTCTGAATTTGGCAAGAAAAGAAGATAAAGGCCAGGGTGGATCAGCATGAGAGGATAAAAAGTATCCAAAAGTGATCAGTGGCATAGTATTGGGAGTGTACTGAGTACCACAGTAGGGTGACTGTACTGAGTTCCACAGAAAGTCATTTTAAAGTATTTAACATGGTGACTTCTATGCTATGTGTATTTTACCACGTGCAATTTTTATCACATATTTTATAACCAGAATATAAATGACCTCTATGTCCCCAAACTTGCAATGAAGTCTTTTGGACATGCCGGCACCCAAGTGCCTTAGGGGGTGAATTTACTGAAAATCAAAGGAAGTGCTGTCAAATGTCTGGATGAGGGCGGCCTGAACAGACACAGAGAGAGAGCAGGAAGGCACTCCACAAAGTGACATAACCCTTCTAACATAGACAGTCAAGACCACAGAGAAGGGAAACAAGCCACTATCCCCCAACCTCTTTCCCAGAGCTTTGGGGGCAGCCATGACTTGCTGTGGGATGGTCTGTATGTCAAATGTGTTGCTGATTGGTCAATAAATAAATCACTGATTGGCCAGTGGCCAGGCAGGAAGTATAGGCGGGATAAGCAGAGAGGAGAATTGAGAGAACAGGAAGCTGGGTGAGGGAGACTCTGCCAGCCGCCACCATGACAAGCTGCATGTGAAGATGCCGGTAAGCCACGAGCCATGTGGCAAGGTATAGATTTATGGAAATGGATTAATTTAAGCTATAAGAACAGTTAGCAAGAAGCCTGCCACGGCCATACAGTTTGTAACCAATATAAGTCTCTGTGTTTACTTGGTTGGGTCTGAGTGGCTGTGGGAATGGCGGGTGACAAAGATTTGTCCTGACTGTGGGCAAGGCAGGAAAACTCTAGCTACAATGACTTAAAAAAAAAAAGAAAGAAAAAAAAAGCAAAAACACCCGACTCCCAACAACAAGAGACAGCTCAGTGAATTTCTGTATCAAAGGATAGATGGCCCCCTTGAAACCTGCACATATTATTTTAGACTCTTCCTGAAAACAGAGACAGGAGATGCTATCATTGCTTCTGGTTCCCAAGTGAGCTAAGGGCTGAGGAGGTAAGCAGACCCACACAGACCAGCAAAAGCGACACTTCCCACAGTGATGGAATGTTGGGTACAAATTGCATTTCCAGACCTTAGGCTAAGAATCATCACATCTCTATCTTTAAGATTGTTCTCCAAGACAAACTTAAAATTTACTACGTAATAAAGCAAAGGATGGAGAGAACTTCCAAAGTTCTAGTATAAATAGAACTGTTATAATAGCAAAAGCAATAATAGTAATTCTCCGAACAGAAATGAAGGTCAGCAACAGCTTGGCAAGATTGCTCCAATATACTTGATTGTTCATAGGGCAACGAACAGGCCAAGCAAAATACTGTCATATCAGACTATAACACCTATCTCAATATGTATTATGAATATACCACTCTTATTTATAAGTATTTATTAGTCACATAAATAAAAAGAGAGGACATATATTCATTGGAACCTAGAAAGCAGAAAGAAAGAAAAGTAAAATAAAATAAAATAAAAAATTTTAAAAAATTATCTATCAGCCTCTGAATTTTCCAAATCATATGCAAAGTGAATAAGAGAAACAGAATTTGAGAGTCACATTAACTGAAACAGAAAGGGCCATTTAGAGCCCCCCCCCCCAACACACACACACACACACACAGTGATCTGTACTTTAGAACAAACCGGGACATTTTGGAAAGTCAGAGTAATTCTTTTAAAAAGAAAGGACAGGAATGAGCATGCAGCAAAAGCCATGTCTTGCTTTAGTGAAAGATGAATGTGAGTCATATCCAACATTTTTTGATAAAGGGGACATTTGAAGAAAAGTCAGCAGAGGGAGAAATTGAAAATACTGCATCTATATAGAAATCATCTATACGTTTTTGCCTCTGAAAAGCCATTGGTAAAATAAGAAAAACACTTAGCACTGACAACAGAGAATGATGCGTGGAGCCTCCACAAAGCAGCTCTTGCTAGGAGAAAAGGCATCTGCCACTCCCGGCATTCACTGCATATGTCTCTATTTTAGCTAATGATTGTTCCTTTCTGTGTCTGTCGGAGCAATTCTGAAGAGAACATATTGAGATGTGCTTCTGGACATGACAGATGAGAAGGGCGAGAGCAGCCCCACTGGTAGCTAGCTCTCACATTTCCCTGAAAGGCGAAAGAAGCTGGCACATGGACTTCCCACCCATCCAGATGGCTTGGTTCATCAGCATATGGACTGCAGGAAAGAACAAGCAAGAAGCCAGGTTATGAGGGTTAAAACAAACCAATACCAGAGCTGGAGCTGAGCCTCAGAGGTAGAGTATTTGGCTAACAGACACAAGGATCTTTTGTTTCAGTCTTTAGCACCACACAAGCACAAAAGAAAAAAATTATTAAAAGATAAAACAATGTTCCTCAAGTTTTTCTTAAGTCTCTCCTGCAAGATATATATACTAAATGCCATTGACTAAGCATGTCTGGGACCACAGATTGGTTCCAGGGAACGAGAGAAGGTTATAGCTAGACTTGGTTCTTTGGATACGGTGATTCCCGAGGCCTAGAATCAACTAGACTTCCTTCTTCATTCTCCCTCCAGCCCAGCTCATCATGGAGCGGTCATTTCAAAGGTTACCACTTAGGTCTTTTGATCTTTTGATTAGGAAAGCAAGAACCCCGGTCCTCTGCTCTACTGTTTGCTTCACTGGGCAACTCCCTGAACTCCTTTGCTTCCTAAACAGCTTATCTGTTACCTCCATGGACGCTGTTCTGTGGGCCCCTCAAATTTTCAAGGAATTATAGAGGTCAAATCAGTTGTCAAATCTCATAGTGTTTCACCACAGCCCTCACTCACCCACATTCTCCTAACAAGGAAACACAATGTGATTTCTGACTTGTCTGGGAACACAGTCACTATGCCCGTCCCCTGTGCTCAGAAAGGAAAAAAGTCAGACCCTGATCCATGAAGGATTCTTCACAAATAACAAAACCTCACAAATAAAAAACTTGACTCAGACATGTGGTTGCAATGCCAACTAATGCAAGTTTATTGAGAATTACACAGAGCGACAAGCTCCCTTTATTAGAGACACAAAAGCAGAAGCCAGGAGATACAGGAGCAAGGTGAAGACGTGGGCTGTTGGCATTAGAGCCTCTGGAAGCATCACGAGACCTCGGACTGGACTGAGGGTGGCGAAGCCTTTGACGAAGCATCAAGCAGCTTACACAGCACCAGAAATCAAACCTTAAAGTTAATCTGTGCTGGTAAGAAACATTTTAGAGTGTCAAAGGCAGCCTGCACATAGCTAGCAGCCAGCAACTGGGCAGTCAATAACGGTCAGTGATGAAGTATTCAGGCAGCATACTGGAAGATCCTGGAAACGCAGCTGGCAGAGCATGGAGACTCAACTGGAACACCGGCTCCTACGCATTTAGCAAGTTCTTCGGCAGCTGGATACACAGGACTGCTGGTATGTCCTGGTGACTCCACAGGTTGGTTGGCAGACAGTAGAGATGCCTCCCACTGGTTGGCAGGCAGTAGAGATGCCTCCCACGGGTTGGCAAGTGGTAGAGATGCCTCCCACGGGTTGGCAAGAGCTGGAAATGCCTCCCAAGGACTGACAGCCACTGGACACAAAAGTGAGTGGCCGGCTACAGGGAGTTGAGCAGGGATTGGAGACACAGGTAGTCTGTCGATTGCAAGTTACCTGGACAGGGGTGGAGATACAAGAAGTTCTCTGGTAGCATGTTGGCTGGCAGACAGTGGGCTCACAGCATGACTCCTGACAATGGTCCAGGAGCCAGGAACCAGTTTGGAAGGAACTGGGCAAGTAGATGCCACTCAGGCAGTCTGCATCACGGGCTGAAGCTGTGGCGACTGGACCTGCTGGGACGGTGTACCGTCCTCCGACTGGCCTGGAAGAGCAATTTCTTGTGGAGCAGTTGAAAGACATTGTGGCAGAGCGAAGGCTACGTGTCTCCTTGAAGTTAGCCGAACTGTGAATGCCACTCCAGGCTCCCGGGCTTTTATATACCCTTGCTCATGGGTGGGGCCCCCATGCTTGTTGCCTCGGCTTCTTTGGCTCACACCCCCTTGCCTTAGAACATCTTGTGAATCTACAAGTTAATTGTCTCTCGGGAAGCCTCCTCCCTCGTAAAGGACGTTTAGTAGTTTGGTAACTAAATCATAAGTCTCCTGCACTGTACTTAGTCTGGGTTAAGAATGCTGGTTTGGCGGCTTCAAAGCTGTGGGTCATCCTTACCCACATTTTATCCCCCCCCCCCCATTTATCTTCTTGCATCCGATGAGTGTTCATCCAGCCACAACTCCAAACATGCCACTGTCCTGCCATCACACTCTCTCTCCCTTCTGGCCAGGACTGATTACCAGCTCACACCCTGCTTGGTTTGGCCATTGGCGTTTAATATCCTTTAAACATGACTTAATCAGTCACTCTTCACAGCTAACGGGGCTTCTGATGAAGGGAGTGGCCTCCTTCAAAATGCTTCGTGATAGCAGTGATAAGAAGGGCCAAGGAAAAACGACACAAAGATTGCTCCAAATCAGGAGGTGGTCCTCAGCACGCCTTAACGGACCAAAGCAGGAAGACCAGGGGAATGGGAGAAGGCACTGGCATCCTTTCTGTTTCATCAAGACAGCAAGTTAGATGCTAATTAAGTGGAACTACATTCCCAGCCAAGACCCTTTTTAAATAAATTGGGTAAGAATTATCCCTAAAAGTTTTACTCTAGTAAAAATGGATCACAATTACTCATGAGCCTCATTAGGATGCCAGGAGACAGGCTTCATTAATTTTAAAATTATTATAATGTTAATTTAAAAGGCTACAGCGTCTTTCTCCCATTTTGCTCAATATATTTGAAACATATTTATTTTTTCACAAGTCCTTATAGATAGGACGCATTTTAATCACGACTAAACTACAGACTCTCCAAGGTCATTGTCTTTATCGCAAATAAGGATAGGCAAGGGTGGGAGAATCAGGCACTTAAACAATGCTTGGTAATAAACGGAGATATGAAGAGGTTCCTGAAATATTTAATTATTCCTTTTCTGCTTGGGAAACCATACACATGGTATTCTCCTTTGCTTCATCTCAGTATAATGTGGTTGGCTCTGTGCAAGAAACCTGACTGTTTCTTTAGTCCATCTGTACACAGGTAAACCACCTGCTTTGGTTAACAAAATAAATCCCTCCAACACAGCTGAAGTGATCAGAGATATTTCTACCTCAAACAGCTGTAAACTCTGACCAGTTTTGAGACCTGGCTTACATAAGGGACAACAATTGACTGACATATATTTGAGGGCTACAGGCAGGGCCACAAAGAGGACAGTTTTACGCCAGACGTCATCAGAAGTCTCCTTGCAAGAGCATCATTCATCTAATTGGAGGCTAATGATGCACTCAAAGAAGAGGATGCTGGGCTGTGGTCTGCGTTAGAAACCTCGAGGATCAGCTTCAATGACTCCAAGAATGTTCTCAGGAGCCGGGGGAAAGAAATTAACGAGATGACTACTTTCCACAATGTTGTGACCATGCTCTTTCCACCACTAAGAAGGTCCCAGATGGTGTTTGAAGGTCTGAGTGCCTGGCCAGAGGGATGGGCCTGCTTGTTTTATAATAGGTGAGTCCTTTACAGGCTTCTACCAGATGAGGACTTGTAGGACACAAGGGAAGATAACTCAGTGGTGCAAATTCCAAAAGAATGAAGGCAGGAGACTCTGCCAGTACCCATTACCACATTCCTGGATGGCAGAAAAATTTTTAAGAGTGTGTGTGTGTGTGTGTGTGTGTGTGTGTGTGTGTGTGTGTGTGTGTGTGTGTGGTGCGGGGGAGGGGTTTGCACGTACACACAAACACTTGTGTCATCGTGTGGAGGTCAGAGGACAACTTTCAGGAGTCTCTTTCCACCATGTGAGCTGAGGACATCAGGCTCAGAGGCAAACACCTTTTCCATCTTCTCATCAGCCCCTGACTGAGAATTTTAAAAGTCATTATTGGTCTCTGTTCAACTTTTCTACTGAAAGTTGAAAATCACAAGAAAGGAGTCCTAGAAAATACCTTCAGTGGGCTTCAGGAGGAGAGCAAGTGGGTGTTGTAAGAGCACGTCATTCTCATTCAGCTGGTGAGTTGGAAGCTTCCTGTACCTTATCTCACCAGATCCTTCCATTACTTCCATGGAGGAATGAGGCATCAGGCCTCATGACAGATGCAAAGTTCAGTGAGTCTCAGTAGCCATCCAAGCCATTTAGCTTGTATCTTACTAAGGGAAAATTCAAATAGAGCAAAGCCTAAGAGCATCCAGGTCGTAATTGGGCTATTAAAACATGTTAGGATGCCTTCACTAAAGCGTGATGAAAAATTTATTTATTTAAAACAGACCATCAATCCCACACTGATGACAGTATAAAAGATATAGTAAGTCATCTCTCTTCCAGGTCATTAACTATTTAGCAACAAAATAAATGAAGGAAGTCATTCTGCATACCATTTAATACTTTTTATTTAACTTGAGTGAGATTCAAGGTCATTATAAGCAAAGGAAAACAAGAGAGCCATCATAACTTGAGACTACAGTTCGAACTCACAATTATTTATAATGGCTATGTTCGTAACTAATTTTCAGAGAATAGCAGAGCAGGGAATTGACTTGTCCATTTTCCACGAAACCTACCATTTTGCAGATGTTAAATGAAAGTAATCGGTTGAATGGGTTCCTTGGATTTTAATTACTGAATGAAACTACTGGTTTGTGCTTACATTGTGGCTAAAAGCACTGAAATCTTATATTAAAATGTTTTCAGCATTTGTGAGTCATGTTTTTCAGACAGGCCGGGACCTTGCCACCTAGAAATGAAAACTCTGTTCACATCTCTGCCATCCTCTGAAGCTCTCTCTGTCCATGGTGTTAGGAAAGCTACTTCACATTTGCATGCGATTTTTTTACAGAAGCACACACCTTTTATTTGATTTTTCCTTACTCGGAGTTACAGAGTACAGTGTCTGCTATGGTGTCCTCAGAGGGGGCTCTTACATTGAAGGCTTTGTCTTCAGTGCAAGGCTCAGATCAGAAGCTTTGGGGGAATGACTGGATCGTGTGGGTTAGTCCATTAAGATAGTCATAAGTGAATGGACTATAGGAAGCTGTAGAGACTGTGCATAGTGCGGCCTGATGAGAGCTCAGGGCCATTGGGAACATGTCTTCGAAGGGATTGTCCATGGATTCTTCCTCCCTCCCCCACTTCTCACACCTCTGATTCCAGGCTTCTCTCTCTCTCTCTCTCTCTCTCTCTCTCTCTCTCTCTCTCTCTCTCTCTCTCACACACACACACACACACACACACACACACACACACACACACACACACACAAGCATGCACACCACAAGGTTTTCCCTCACTATAGTCCCAAGAATAATGGAACGAGCTGAATGCTGACAAAGTCTATGAGACCATGAGCCAAAATCGATCTTCCTCCCTTAACTTACTTGCTCAGAACAATGAAGCAGAGACAAATACATCCACTGACAATCACGTGATGCTTGAATAAAGTCCAGAGAATTCCAATTTTAAATGGAATAAATTAATAATACTTTCACTATAAGAAGGGAAAAAAACTTATTCAGCCAAATAGCCACTATCACTCCGTAGTCTGTGCCATATGAAACTTCAATGCAGGGGAAAAACCCAGCTTGCGAGGATTACTTACTGTCTCTCATTTGCAGAGCACGAAGTGAGGGGAGAGTGTGATGAGAGCAAACGGAGAGAGATCAAAGAGCCTCTGCTGCCCATTGTCTTCATCACAGATGGTAATTTGCTCTCATTTGTAGAGAATGATCTAAATCTTATACAATAATTATCACTGCCTGGAAATGAGCGGTTCTTTCACTCAAAATGAATCACAGCAATCACTTGCAAGGCCAGCCACTCGGGAATAAAATGAGTTAGGCAGGTGTGGGAGGCTGAAGGCTTAGTATGCAGAGAGGACACTTTTCATCAGAAAGTTGGGAATAAGGTTGACCAACACCAGTCCAGAGAAAAGGACTAAGTGACTCTCATCAGGCATGGTGAATTTGCAGAAAAATTAATAAATGTAAAACAAAATTTGGCCATTCTCTGCTTTGAGGAAATGATCATCTTCTCAAAATGAAGCTACTCATTGCCTCTTGAGAAGTATAAAAGAAAATTCAAATTTTTATGGGGGAGAATATTATGGTTACTGTAAAACTTAAAATTAATTCTATCTTGACTGAGTAACTCTGCTTTTCTTTTGACTTGACATGGGCTCTAGATTGAGCCTCTAAAATCCCTACTAACTGAGAAATTAGAAGCCCTTGAGGCTTGAGTGAGGCACACCACAAAAGCTGAAATCCATGCTGCAAACTCTCTTCAAAAAGCACCGGTTATAAGACGAGTAGAATCTCACATGCCAGTGCCAACAGCAGAGACAGAAAGCAGAGGTGAGCCGGGCGGTGGTGGCACACGCCTTTAATCCCAGCACTCGGGAGGCAGAGGCAGGCGGATCTCTGTGAGTTCAAGGCCAGCCTGGTCTCCAAAGTGAGTTCCAGAAAAGGCGCAAAGCTACACAGAGAAACCCTGTCTTGAAAAACCAAAAAAAAAAAAAAAAAGAAAGAAAGAAAGAAAGAAAGAAAGAAAGCAGAGGTGAAAATAAGCCAGCGACGTCTACCAAGATGATTTCATGGATGCTGCTTTAGGAACCGGAAGACAGCCAAGAGCAGCTGCGTGCATAAAGAAAGCAAAGCCTTCAGAGGATGCTGCCAAGGTTGTGAATTCCTGAAGTGGACCATTCTCTAGTCATCCACTTTCAAGTTCATGTGGTTTTCAGTGTGTGCTTTTTTTTTTTTTTTTAAACCATGGATCAAAATGAAGGTCCCACCAGTGAAGTCCAGTAGAATCTCTAGGGTTGTT